TTAAAGGCCAACATTCAGCGCCATAGAGCATTGCAGGTCTCACCACCATCTTATAAAATTTTCCTTTCAGTCTTAGCGGTACTTTTCTATCACACAAAAGGCCCGAAGCATTCCTCCACTTCAACCTACCAACTTGAATTCTACTATTAACATCCCCATCTATATCACCATCGCTTTGGACAACGGACCCAAGATATCTAAATCGTTCACACCTTTTAATAATTTGATCACCCAAAGTCACACTTCTGTCACTAGAGCTATTACTACTAAAATTACATTCCATGTATTCAGTTTTAGTTCTACTTAAACGAAGGCCTTTAGACTCCAATGTAGACCTCCATAATTCAAGTTTTTCCTGGGCTTTTTCTCTCGTTTTATCCACGAGAAGAATATCATCAGCAAAAAGCATACACCAAGGTACATCCTCTTGTAGATGTCCAGTAAGACCATCCATAATTAAAGCAAAAAGATATGGGCTTAAAGTCGATCCCTGATGTAAACCAACAGAAATAGGAAAATATTTTGTCAATCCTCCTTCAGTTTGAACACAAGTAACAGCTCTAGTATACATATCTTTAATGACTTGAATATAAGTCATATCAACACATTTCTTCTCGAGAACTCTCCAAAGGATATCTCTTGGAACCTTATCGTAAGCTTTTTCTAAATCAATAAAAATCAAATGTAGATTCTCCTTATTATCTCTGAACTTCTCCATCAAACCTCTCAATAAATGTATAGCTTCCATAGTAGACCTGCCCGGCATAAATCCAAATTGATTTTGAGAAATTTTTGTGATGCGTCTTAACCTATGTTCAATTACCCTCTCCCATAATTTTAAAGTATGACACATCAACTTAATTCCTCTATAATTTGCACACTCTTGTGCATCCCCTTTATTCTTAAAAATGGGGATCAAAATACTCTTCCTCCACTCCTCAGGCATCTTTTTAGTTTTTAAAATAATATTAAAGAGTTTAGTAAGCCAAGAAACTCCCAAATCTCCCAAATATTTCCACACTTCAATTGGGATATCATCAGGTCCTACAGACTTTCCACCCTTGGTTTTCTTTAAAGCCTCCTCAACTTCTTTTTTGCTAATGCGACGGTAAAAATGAAACGTTTTATTATTATTTACGATATTAAAATCACTAAGTTCGATCGTATTTTCAGAAACTTCATTAAAAAGTTTATCAAAGTAACTCACCCACCTATGTTGAATATCTTTTTCTAAGAAAAGTACTTTTTGATTTTCATCTTTAATACACTTTACTTGAGTTAAATCTTTACTTTTCTTTTCTTTTTGTTTGGCTAGTTTATACATATATTTTTCACCCTCCTTAGTATCTAATCTATTATAAAGATCATTAAAAGCAGAATTTTTAGCATCACAAATTGTTCTATTAGACTCCCTGCAGACCGTTTGATATTTTCTCCAGTTCTCTAAGCTTTTACATTTAAACCAATTTTTATAACATAACTTCTTATATTTTATCTTTTCTTGCGCATTATTATTCCACCACCAACTATTTTTATTTGTAAAGATTTTTCTCTTTGATTCTCCACGAACATCTTTTGCTAAATGTTTAATAGCGTTTGATACTTTATCCCACATCACATTTGCTTCTTCATGAATATCCCAAATTTTTAAATCTTCAATTTTACTCATAAAATTAATTTTATTTGTATCTTTTAAGTTTCTCCATCTAATTCTGCAATGATGAGTCCTAGTATTTTTTATTTTACAACTCTTAATCTTAAAATCTAAAACTAATAAACGATGTTGGGTATTTAAATTTTCACTTGGAATGACTTTACAATCAT